GAAAATGAATAGGATGCGTTCTCTGCATGTAAAGGTAAACCACATCAAGCAAATGAGACTCTGAAATTGCAATTACAAAATCAATTATATTTTTTATACTTTTAATTATATGTTGAATAGAAACTAGATTAAAATCTTCCAGCCACCTTAGTATGAAAAACTAGGAACCATATATGTTTTGCAGGTGGCCTTCATCCTAAAGAATCCAGTTCCTTTGGATTTAGTTAACTCCATTATCATCAATGCACTGTGGCCTTTTGCAGTTGCTTCAGCACACGGTCGTTAGTATTACCGAACAGGGCTGATCAGATAGTATGTATTTTATACCTCTCAGCCTTTATTCACTTGATTTTGCAAATAAACCAGGTATGTTGTAAAACCACTTCCCCCTCTGCTTGTTTCAGAACTGGTATACACTTGCTTTGTGAGACATATATGATCCTTTGCACAAAGCTCAGTGTATGGCTCTAACCTCTCTTGTTACAGATAAAACATAATTTAGTTTCAGATGTAACGTAAACAGGATCATTATGTTTGGAGAGTGTTCCAAAGCCTGCTATTCGGGCAAGCTGTGACACATAAATAATGCAAGACCTTTTCTCTCGCCAAATGACTTCAGTCCAGCACGGACTCAGGAAGATGGAGGCCCAAATTTATATGGCCGTCACAAAATTCAATCTACTTCTGATTCTCCAACTGAATTATGGGTCAGCCCTCCATCATTTCCTATTAGTACCAACCCATGCGCCCGGACCCTTTGCCAGGGCAGGCAGGGGAGAGTCCTGCTTGGAAATACGCTGGCTCTTTATCCTGATACTAAAATGGAAGGGAATCGCAGCTAGTCTGAAAAGCCCTGTGTTTTCCTTTAGGAAAGCAAGGTAGAAAATGGGTCCTTTTCCCCCACTCGGCCCCCTGACCTCTGAACCCCAACCTCCTCACCACTAAAGCACTCGACAGCCCCTTTTCAAGCCTCCTCGCAGCACTGGCGCCACGCTGGAAAAGAGGAAAAAAATAATAATAATAATCTGGGGACTCCATCAATTTTTCATGAATTTTCATTTAGGCCCAAGCCCCCTCTTACGGCGGTCGATAGATCAAGCTGCTGTCACGTTT